GATGAGATGGTTGGATGACATCACCGACTTGATGGACATGAGTTTGAGCAAGCTCTGAGAGTTGGTGATGGACAGGGAAGCCTGGTGTGCTGCAGTCCATGGGGTCACAGAGAGTTGGACACGACTGAGTGACTGAACCAAACTGAACTGAAGGCTCAAGACTGCTGCAGCCTCAAGGCTGCGGGCGAACCTTCCTCCAGCCTTACAAGCAGGCCAGGAACCATGCAAGAGAAACTGGGAACCACTATCTGCACCAGAGACAGCCTTCGGATCCGGTTTATTTGCACAAGTGTGTGGGTGGCTGGGGTATCCCTGATAGAAGGCACTATTCCAAGCCCTTTCTTCAGCCCAGTCTTTCCCACCAGTTCACAAATCCCACCTGCAGTTGCCCCCTGCCTGATATCTCAGCATCCTTCCAATTATTTAAAGAGGGGAGGGACGGGGAAGCTTGATGTTTTATAAGGAGCGTGCGCCTCTGTCTTTTCAAATCTTAAGAAAGCTTAATCCCTGCAATTTAGATAAATCAGATAGGCATTACCAGGTTAGGGTTAAACCTCCAAGAATGGCTTTGCAATTGATTGCAGAAACAGCAGTTATTAAGTCCTAACTGAGTAATTTGCAGCTTAGTTCACCCCCCACCCCCCAGCTAATTAAAATGTAATCAGGATTGTCTGGCAATGTGTATTCTGTCAGCAGTTTTTTCTTCCGAAGAGAAATCATGCCAAAAGACCACAAGAAAAGCCTTTCACGGGAATTGGCTTGATCTGCACTGTTTCTTTCGGCGCTGAAACTGTAAAACAAATAAATTACAGCGACTGACAGTTCAATTTAAAGAAGGAAGGAAGGGAAGAAGCAAAAGAAAAGATAGTCTTTCTCCCTGGGAACAGGATGCCGTTTTATGTTGTTGTTTGAACAATAGGGTGGCATTGGCTCAGAAGAGCGACCGCAGGGCAGGGCCTGGGGGCAAGAAACCAGGTGGCTGGGAGGGCCCCTCTCCAGGGTGTCCGCGGAAATTCAGCGCATGAGACCACCCCCACCCCCCGTCCCTTCCCTGAAGACCGAGGGGGATCGCAGAGTTCTCTGAAACCTACGGATGCCCCTTCTCTGCGAACACGCAGGACCGCGCGTACTCGGGAGCGTGGAGACTTGGCCAGCGGGTTCACTCTCTGCACATCCCAACTTTTAGCTCTCCGTGGGCCATTCCGGGCAAGGTTTCATTAGCTCTCTCACGCCAGAATGAACGGGGCTTAAAGGCTTTGGAGACTCGTCCCAAACTCCACGGTCACTACGATGGCCCCCATCGCAGCTTAGTGTCCGGGAACCCTTGGAAGGCCCCTTTGACCCCGCCCAAGCGCGAGAGGCGCCTCGTTTATTTCAGAGGGGCTCGGCTTAGAAACCCACCGAGGAGCCGCGCGGCCCCTTTCTGGGAGCCACAGTTTTCCCTGCGGCCATAAGTTGGTATCTTGTAACAGGTGAACGACTTCAAGGCTAGAGAGGAGACGGCGAGGGCGAGAAGCGAGCACACGAGAGGAATTGGGTTATACGCGTGAATGATTGCAGAGTGCGCGCGCTCCAATCAGCTGGGGACCGCGGCTGCGAGGCGCGCCTGGGGCCCGGCTCGGGAGCGGTTCCCGCGTGCCCATCGGCACCCAGGGTCCCTGAGTCACTCCCCGCTGTGACTCCCCTCCACCCACCCACCCAAGTATCCCAGCCATCAAGTGACCTGTCCCCTGAACTTTCTGCACACGCAAACGCGCCCCTCTACCCCCAAGCCGCCAGAACCTACAAGGGTTGGAAGAGATACTGGCCGCGGGAGTTCTCTCCGGAACATCCGAACTCGGCGCCTCCAAGTCCCTTATCCGTTGCCATCTCTTCCCTTATAGTCTCAACGCCATTCGCTGGCGACACCTAGAAGCTCCGGGGCTCCGAATTTGGGGTGGCACAGTCACCTGCGGTAACCCCCCCCCCCCCCACCCACCCAACACAAACTCGCTGGAAGACCAAGTGACCCCTGGCTGAGGCTCCAAGGGTGGACCGCGAGCTCCCGGCCCGCCGAGTGCGAAAGCAAAGCTCAACACAGACAAAAAAAGTGTCGGCCGGCAGGGCACCTGCGGCGCCGGGACTGGTCGCGCGGGTTCCCCGGGCGTAGCGGAGCGCGGGCCTAGCTCGCTCTGCCCGCGGCGCGGAGGGCCCGGAGCGCCCGGGGACTTTGAAAGGAGACTGGCCACCGGCCCGCAGTCCCGCGGCGGAGGTCCCGGGGCAACTCACAAGCCCACAGCCCACCCCACTCCATCCTTGGAAGCCACAAAACCTCTCTCCCTTCCCAAAGGAAACTGCCTTTTGGTTTTCCCCGGGGAACAAGGGAGTTAGGTCGGGAGCCGGCGAGGGGCTGCAAAGCCGGGATCGCCCACCCACCCCCTCCCGCTCCCCAACGAAGGTACAACCCACCCCGCGCGTAAAGCCGGACCCCGGCCGGCTGCCGCTGAGCGTGAAGTTTGAGCGGCGAGGCTGGAAGGCGCGCGCCCCGCAGCACCAGGGGAGGACCCGGGCGCGAGGCGGTGCGTACCTGGAAGTGCTGGAAGAAGGCGGAGATGCGCGTGATCTGCAGGCTGAGGCACCTGGAGGCGCAGCGGGCGCGCTGGACGCTCCCGGCCGCCAGCGACTCATCCAAGCACTGGGACCCCACCTGGACGTGAGAACAGGTTAAGGATAGACGGAGGCGCCCCCCGAACTTGTGGGCTTCCATCCCGGCTTCCGACTCCGGTGGTTCCAGGTCCTACTCATATGCTTTGGCGTATTTGGATTTTCCCTCTTCCAAGGAGCGGAAGGGAGCGAATGGACAGAACTGCGCTGGGTGCAATAAGAGGAGACAGAGGCCATGCAGACACGTTTGACCCGCCTCCCCCCAGATGCCCCCATCCTCCACACCTCCCTCCCGTTCCTTCTTTCCTCATCCTTTGCCCTCTTCCTTCCTGCCTGCTTCCCTTCCTTTCTTCTTCCCTCTCTTCTTCAACTCCGTCCATTGAGACCTTTCACTAGTCCTTTCCTTCCCTCTTAACGAGCATCCATCACCTGGAAATTGATCCGGGCAGGTCGCTAGGAACATTTATGGAGGAGAAGGGGAGGACAGAGCAGGAGATGGTTGGATGGCATCACCAACTTGATGGACATGAGTTTCAGCCAGTTCTGGGAGATGGTGATGGACAGGGAGGCCTGGCGGTCTGCCATCAAGAGTGGGACATGACCAAGCAACTGAAATGATGACATGGTCACACACACCTCATTTCCGCAGGTGTCTCTTTCCAGTAAGGCCTTACCTGGCCAGTACGACGGACCTATTCAAGACAGCAATCTTTCCTGCACCCTGCTCCTCTTTGCCCCCAAGTCTTTTGATTTGGCCCTGTTAGCAGCAAGACGGCCACCCTGTCACCTCCTGCAATCTGGCCTGGAGAATCCCCAGGGACAGAGGAGCCTGGTGGGCTACAGTCCGTGGGGTCACAAAGAGCTGGACACGACCGAGCGACCAGGCACAGCACACCACACCTCTTGTGATCTTTCCCCACGTTCTTTCACCACCCACGCTCTCTGTCCAGAGGTGGACGCTCTGCATTGTCTGAACTACACCCCCTCCCTCTGACAAAGGTCTGTACTTCCCGGAGCTCCACGGGGAAGGGACACTGCTCCAGCCCTCTGCAGGTAGGAGATCCCACAGACAGCTGGGGTCTGAGGAAGGCTGAGCTCCACACCTGGGACCTTTATGTAACACGACTGAGTCCAGAGGACGCAAGGGCACTAGCTGGAGGCGGGACAACGGGACTGACGCTCCTGTGACTCACGCGAGCCGGTCCTCAAGCAGGATGTCACGCACATGTTCTAAAGGGGGGGCCTCGGTTAGCACACCACCAAACGCAGCGGCAGTCCCGTCTAGACGCATGCAACCTGCTCAAAGACACAGCGAGAAGCCGGAGCCCACGGCTTGCTCCAATTTCCAGTTCTCTCCTCCTAAAATTCCCCACGGTTTCCACCCAGACACTCTTGAGATCTTCCTGCGAAATGATGGTGACGATGACAACCATCTGCCGTGATTCTTTCATACCCACTTTTTCTTTCACATCATCTTGTGTGTATATTTCTTCATATCATTCAAATCAGCAAGGCCAAGAAAATTAACTGTTTAGCGTGTTTCCCCCAGTGGGTTTCAAAAATCAAAGTTTCTTTGTGCAAAAGGCTCTGTAGGCAGAACTGGTCTCATGGCTTGTGTGACATTAGAAGGATCCACACTTCGTTGAATGTTCATCTGTTGCGATCTTGATTTTAATTTTCAACGTGGCTCTCTGAATTTTCATTTTGCCCAAGACCCCACAAATGACACAACCAACCTCATCGGTAGCTTTTAGCATGACAGTTCTAAACGTGAGCTGGAACCATAAAAAGTTTAGACGTGAGCTTACATGAACTCATAAGTTTGTTGAAAAGGTGTTAGGAATTGTGGATGGAAATATTTTTAAAGTATGTTAAACATACCTCCTAAAGGTCATCAACCCTGAATATTCATTGGAAGGACTGATGCTGAAGCTGAAGCTCCAATACTTTGGCCACCTGATGCAAATAGCTGACTTGGAAAAGACCCCAATGCTAGGAAAGATTGAGGGCAGGAGGAGAAGGGGACAACAGAGGATGAGATGGTTGGATGGCATCGCTGACTCAGTGGGCATGAGTTTGAGCAAGCTCCAGGAGATGGTGAAGGACAGGGAAGCTTGGCATGCTGCAGTCCATGGGTTGCAAAGCCTGGGACGTGACTTACCGACAAACACACTTAAATATTGAGTAAGAGCAAAGAAGAGCATCTTCTTGGAGACCCCAAGCAGGAAGGTGTATTGAGCCTTAAGTCAATGAATGGAGGACAAACATTATGAACACAGGACCTGTCTTCTGAATGTTATCACTTTCATCTGGGAATTACTAAAAACACTTCCAAAAGCTGTAGCAGATCCTTCTATGGAGTTTGCATTTTAAAGTTAAGTGAAGACCTGGTCTCAATGAAGCCAAGGATATCATGCATGCCTATATTTTCTTACGGTATGTTTGATTTATAACTTTGCATGTTACATCATTAAATTTATATTCTAGAAAGTGAAGTGACAAGGACAAGCATACTGAGCTTTTAAATGTTCAAAGGAATCACTGTATTTTTTTAACAAACAATATGTTTGCTGCTTATATGTGTATGACATAGCATAGTCATTTCCATGAATAAATGCATTTTATGATAAACTACAAAAGAACATCTAGTGAGCGGCACAGGAAGCTTAGGTTTAAATGTATAGGATGTGCTTTCTTATGCATATGTTACAATAGTACTTGTGATTATATAGTTTTCTTCTTTTAGAAGTATCACAGACATCCTCTATGATTATGCTAGTCTTTTTCATATTCTTTATTTTAATTGCAGTTGAAAGTCACTTTGAAAAGAAAGCATTTTGGTAAAGTCAGAGTAATGCTCAAAATCTAGTATTTTACTCTGTTCACATATGTCCAATCTATTATGCAGCTAACCTTTTGAGTTAGCATCTGCGTGCATGCAAAGTCGCTTCAGTCATTGTCTGACTCTTTGTGACTCCATGGACTGTAGCCCACCAGGCTCCTCTGTCCATGGGATTCTCCAGGCAAGAATACTGGAGTGGGTTGCCACGCCCTCCTCCAGGGGATCTTCCCCACCCAGGGCTCGAACCCTCGTCTCTTATGTCTCCTGCATTGGCAGGCAGGTTCTTTACCACTAGTGCCACCTATGAAGCCAGAAATTCCCTAACTGTTGATATGACTGGTTAAGCCACACCCTGCGTTAGTCAAGACCAAGTACCCGGGAGGGGAACCTGAAGTATGTCTGGAAGGAATGATGACTGATAAATGGCTGAGTGGGACTTGTCCAGGTGCATTAGTAAAAAAGAGATTATGTCTTTCCTCAAAGCCAAGGTGGACCTGATCATCAGAATTTGTCTGCAGAAGAAATGAACCTTGTAATGACTTCAGTGGGACTTAGACAAAACACCCAACCTATGAAAGAGAATCTAGGAAAAAACCCTTGGTTAACTCCTTGATGAACTCCATGGAAAAAAGAGCAGAATACACAGCCTGTCTCAGGTTACTGATGAAACACAAAACAAGGCCCCCATTCCCGGTTTCCAAAAAGTTAGCGATGCTTTTCCTTGCAACGGATTTAGGTTATCCATTTCTTCTCCTCTCTTTTACCTTTTTTTTTTTTTTTAAATCCTTAATCAGAGAGGCTTACTAAAGGTGTACTCCAGGACTCTCATCCAGAGATTCTGGGTCAGCCTGTGTGAGATAAAGCCGCCGTGGACTCTCAGCTTTGAAACACCACCTCCTGAAGCTGCAACAAGTGAGTCAAGGACAGGTTTGGGAGAAAACTGAGGTGGAAAACATGCACCCCATTTAAAATGGAGCAGAAGCATTGATTACAAGAGTATGCATTGTTTCTTCATTTTAAGGACCTTTTTTCGGTATGTGTGCTGACGTGCCTGTCGACTTCTTAATAATCACACTGATATATCTTCCCCAGAAACGTTTAGCCAAGACCCTCTTAGACTCATTTTGGGGTGGGCTGGGCAGCAGCTTGTCTTTCTAAAGGCTTTTCAGTGGCATTCGAGAAGGATAAACTGTGTAGGAAACAGTCACACTCTTTTTCTGACGTTCCCCTGTTGGAAAAGCAAATTGAGAATGCGCTCTAAAACTGGAGAAGACCAGTGCTTTAATTTGATGGCATTTGTGAGCTGTAGTGAGTGTGGTCCATGGTCATCGGTTATGGGTTATAGGGGACGGTGAAATGTGGGCAAGAAACTTATATATGGTGCCCAGTTTCCATCTTAATTGGGGCTTTCCTGGTGGCACAGATGGTAAAGAATCTGCCTGCAGTGCAGGAGACATGGGTTTGATCCCTGAGTCAGGATGATTCCCTGGAGGAGGAAATGGCCACCCCCCACTCCAGTCTTCTTGCCTGGAGAATCCCCCGGACAGAGGAGCCTAGCGGGGCTGCCGTCCACGGGGGTCTCAGAGACTGAGACCACTTTCCTTTTTCCTTCCAATGGCTTTCATTTGATGATGCAGTAACAAGCCCCTTCTCTCAGAAACGGCAGTCAACACCCAGAGAAATGAAGGCTGTGTTTTAAAAATTAGAAATTAGCATCATGAGAAGAACTGGGAACCAGGAAGTGAGCTAGGCTAGAGCCTTGGTCCACTCTCACCTCGACGTCTTCGTGCCAAGTTGTCAGGATTCGGCGGTCAGATCTCTTCTTAAGATCACTCTTCTTCCGGTATGCCTTCCACCTCCCAGGCAGATTTCACTCTCTTCTGCTCAGCTTTACACTTCAAAACAAGAAGAACTGAGTGGATAAATCATCAAATCTGCATCCTTCGTAACATGATTTCAGGCAAGGATGGCGTGACACCCCCCCCCCCCCCCCCCCATATCTGGGGCTGTACCCATCCGCTTCTTCACGGCAGCTTTAACCACCAACAAATGAAAATTATAGCTTTCTGCCCTGGGGTCACTGAACATACACTCTGCTTTTTGGAGCAGGACAACCATGTCCATCTGCCGCGATCTGCTTTCTTTTATCATCTTGCAGTGGAAATAGCCTACTTGGAAATAATTTTAGCTTCCTTTTTTTTCCTTGTCAGCAGGATTATAAAAATTCAGGTGCACTAGACACAGGTTTAAAGGTATTATTTTTAATCACCTCGATGTTTACTGAGATGTTACTGAAAAACATCAGAAAGGTGTTTGCTGTTATTACTTTTTGTGGGCGAAGGCATATTTTAAGGAAGATATTTGCAAAATATACAAAGAATTGTCAAATGTCAAGAATTTGTCTGCTTGCTTCCCTCCCTTCCCCCAAAGTCACCATCAATCCATCGATTAGTGTTAAATATGATACCTGTTTTGTAGTCACACTAAGAGCCTGTTCTACATTAAGTGATTGCTATACTTTTATTCTGTCCCTGCCATAGTTACTAAAATTTAACTACTAAAAAGTAAAGTGTGTTGGAGTGTGTGTGCATTTTTACATTTCAAGGATCAGTTGTATGGCGATGAAGATGTTCGACCGTGAATATTTTTTCCCTCCCAGCCCCTCTGCCCCAGGAGATTTTAACTTTAGCTTATTTGAGGACTTCTGTTGATTTTAAATGTCTCATTGAGCATAACAGCTTCTGGACCTTACAAGGAACACAGAGTTTCTTTTAAAAACCCAGTGGTTTCAAAGAATGTTCAGTGTCAGTCAAGTTGAACACTTGTCTCAGTGACCAGGGAAATTAACTGATTTTTCCCAAATTTAAATGCTGGCAACACTACAGTGAACAAGCAGAAAGAGACAGGGTCCTCATATCTGATTTTACATGTGAACCATAGATATTGGAAGACATACACATAGCCGTGAAACAAATGCTACATAACAGCCAAATGAAAAAGACTAAAATATCAAAGGTAATTTTTGTTCTTCAGCTTCCTAACCAAAATATTACTGGTTTGCTCCCAAACATGCATTTTGAGAAGCATAAGCAAGTTAGTAGACATGGAAATTATGCAATTTTAACTGAAGTTACAGAATCTGGGCTTCTCTTGTGGCTCAGCTGGTAAAGAATCCGCCTGCAATGCAGGAGGACATGGGTTCGATCCCTGGGTTGGGAAGAGATCCCCTGAAGAAGGGAAAGGCTATCCACTCCAGTATTCTGGCCTGGAGAATTCCAGGGACTGTATAGTCCATGGGGCCACAAAGAGTCAGACATGACTGAGTGGCTTGGTTTTTTTTTTTTTTATGATATAACCTTTTCATTTCTCACTTCTGAAGGACCTACTTTTCATGGGAAAGGAATAATGAATTTCTCAGCAAAATTCCTATTTAACACTTGGTAAAATGACACTCCTTTAGCTTTTTGAAATGAAGCTCAAATAAATAATCATACTTTTTATTCTGATTTTCATCCCGAGACATGAAAGAAATCAACACAGGTGCTCTTTAGAAATACTGAAGCTCTGTTCTGTTGACAGACTTAAGTGGGG